GGGACGGCAGGAGCATTGCCTCGTCTTTCTGGTGGGAGTAAGGGAGGTTCTGTGCAGAAGGAAGAGCTGATCTCTTATTCTTTTGTAAAATGCTGAAGACTGCTGTGCACTGGCAACGACGTTCCTCAGATGTGGCTGTATTTCAGCTGTTACTATATTCAGAGTTTGTAAAATGCTCTGGGATGATAAAAGTCACTCCAGAAACAGTTATTAAAAGTGTTTCCAGGAAATCGACCCATGGAGACGGAGAAAGTCTGGTGTTTTTACAAGAGCTTCAACTAGAGAAAGACCAAAGCTAAGAAGGAAGTTTTCTTCCTTGTCTTTTCAGCAATAAAAAGGAGCTGCATCAGGGGTTTATTTGACTCTGCAACACAAGAAACAACCATCAGTTGCTTCCTCGGCAGAAAGCAACCCTTAGCAGTCACCAGGAGTCACAGGCTTTCTGCGTTAGTCAAGCTCTGGATCTGTTTGTTTATGTTCTTGTTTTATCCTGTTGCTTTCTGTGATTACTGACCATCCAAAAGATCCCAGGCTAACAACACGCACGCTGCAGGAACAGAGCTTTTACCCAGGAAAAGAGCACGGGCTGCCGTCCCTTCCCCACTCCAGCCCCCATGCTAGGAAGCAACGTGTCTGGAGTCGGACGAGCCACGGGAAACGCAAGCAAACCATCCGCTTGCATCCAAGCGGCTTTTTCCAAGGATCTGCCACCAAGTTTCAGGCTCGGTCACCCCTTCCCCACCCCCGGGTCAGAACTGATTAAACGCAGCCACCGAGTCAAACTCCAACATACTCATCTCGCTTGGCAGCCCTGCGGTTCGGTTGTGAGCTCCAAGCTTTTTCCAGCCCCCCTCCCTCCTTCTTGTTCAATTATCTTGCTTCATCTCTATTCCGTTTCCAGGAACACTTAGCAACAGGCTCTTGCAATCAGCCACCGGCAGTCGAGGATCTGAGGAGGAGACTCTGCAGTTAAGATGACCTTTTACTACACTCATGCAAATTTTAAAGAAAGTATGCGAACAATTTGCCTTTTAAGTGTCCTCCGGTTACATTCTCCAGGAGTTAATTCTCCTTCTCTCCTTAGAGACATCAGAAACACCAGATTTTATGATTTTACACTAATGAGAACAAAATTTGCAGCTTAATTCCAGCTTGCCTTGTGGATTTTTTTCTGTATCTCACACAGCGTGCAGACCCCGAATGGGCAAAAATTAACCTGTGACATTGACCCTGGCCAAGACTGCAGGTCTGCTCAGACACCGGATGATAACGTCGCCGAAAGCCAAGCCTGGGCTTCAGGATCCATCCCAGCAGCCAGCCAAACTCTTCCTGAGATTGACAAGATGCTGTTGCTTCTCTCGGCAAGCGGCTTTTATGGATCGCCATCAGAAACCCTCATTCGAGGACAGCCGAAGGGTATGCCAGGAGCCAAACGTAGCTGCAGCATCCCAGGGAAAACACAGCGGTTGTGATCTCAGTAGTAATTAAAGCTCACCAGCCCAGGCAGCAGGTAAGAGAGCTGGTGCAGTGGTTAAGGACTCTCAATCCCATGGGACTCACTGTGCCGACACAGGGAGAGCTTGTATCAAACGCAGGGACTTCGGCAGGTCTCTCCCAGGACCTCTCCACCTCTGGAATAACACAGCGACCACCGCGAGGCTCTCGGAGGTGGGCAGCGTTGATGCCCCTTATAGATGGAAATGGGTAACAAGTCTGGTTTTGGCAAACCACAGCAGCAAACTCACAGCAGCCATTTTCACAGATGCCTCGATGAGTGCCAGCAGCTGACAAACCGCCCAGGCAGCAGCCTTGCGTTTTCATCAGATTCATACCAAATCCCCAAAGCTTTCCAGCACTTTCCCTGTCGCTCAGTAATTTTCCCACACCCACAAACAAGTTTGGAGATGCTCAGAAAGCGCACACCAGGACAGCCTCCGCAGCTTGCAGGGCACTGGACCATTACTGCACTGAAGTCCTTTCTCCTTGAAATGAGTGCTCTGTGTTTGGAATAAAATATCCTGTATTTCTTGCAGTGCCTAGAAGCCGGAGCGAGGGAATGGGTGAGTACCAAGGTATCAAGGCAGGCAGCTCACTTCCCTCTGCTTTCTCAGTGGTCTTCATAAATAGGGAAATAATTTGCAGTGCTCTACTCTGTGGGGGAAAAAAAAAAAAGCCCACAGATCCTTGATGCTTCATATGAGCTTAAAAAGTATAATCTACTTTTTTCTTTTCTCTTTAAAAAATGGAAAGTCCGAATAAGCACGTCATTGATCCGATTGCTGGGAACAGCATCTGGAACATCAATCTCTGCCTGAGACTGCAGAAGCTGCAGGAGAGCTCAAAGCAGCCAAGGCTGCCCTCGAACCAGATGCCGCTCGCTCTTACAGAAACGCCTGTGGATCCGTGTGAAAATGATTAAGCAAAATTGCTCCCTCTTTTCTCAACTCTCTAACTCCAATCTGTTTTCTCTTAGAGGGCAGATGCTCATTACACATCCCGCAGCACATCAAAGGGCAGGAAAGGCAGGAAGGCAGTCGCCTCGCCATGCACTGGAGGGCAATGCCCAGCTCCCCGCCCAGCCTGCCTGCACCCACTACCCTCTCCCCAGCCCGGAGCTTTTAGCTTGGGGTGAAAGCCGAGACAGTAAAAACGCCTCTTCAAGCCTCGGTCCCCTCTTAGTGACGCCATGAAGGACGCCAGCCAGGGGCTATTCCAGCAGCAGACAGCAGTGACGTGTTTCTGCAGGGAATTCTCTTGCTGCTTCAGAACTCAGCTCCAGCTACTGCAGCACCCCGGGCAGCCCTGTTCGTCAGGTGCAAAGCTGAGCATTTCTCCAACGCTCCTTCCCCACCGGCGCCTGAGCCTGCGAAGGCCAACACGAGCGACGGGCAATCCCCACCTGCACCCAGATCCAGCCAGTGTCTTCTTCAGATGCTCACTGACAAAATGACGACGTTAACAGAGCATTGCACAAGGACCCGGGTGCCACGAGAGGCCGACCAGAGAGGGCTGGCACCGCAGGGATGCTCTGGGACAGGAGCTGCTCCGGGGCAGAGCAGAGCCAGCCCCGCTCCTGCTCTGCCCCAGCGCAGCACCTTCACATCTACCACGCAAAGCGAGCGTTAACTACGCCGTGCATGGTGCCAAACAGCAACACCTCCTGCTCTACCTCAAACAGAGCTTTTTTCTAATGAACAGAGCAAAAATAATGGGGCTCTGACACAATCATTTCCCTTCTCCAGGAGTCTCGCATTTTAAACCCCACAGGCATTTTTGGTGATGAACTGACCTCACTTTTAGAAACAGAATTCACTAAATACCCGAAGCGTGATGATGCTGCGCTACACACCCCCCTCCCAAAAACCCCGCTTCCCAGCGGTACACCCCTCCTTCCTTGGAAATGTCTCCTGGCAGATTTGTGTCTGGTAATGCAGATGAGATCTACTCCTGTTCCATGACAACTTCCACGAAGAATGGCAAATGAAGACCCCAAAATCCCAGAGCCTGAACCTAAACACCACATTGCTTACCCAAAGCCTCCTTCATCCTTTCTTTACTCAAACTCTACGGGATGATGCTCAGATCTAAACCTCTTGGTTTTTCGGATCTGTGCCAGCTACAGCAAACACCCAGCAGCTGGGACAGGCTTAGCAGGACATGACCTTAGGGGCACCAAACCCTGCGCATTTCATGCCACACCTGAGCAAAACCCCTGCCTTCAGAGGTGAAAGGCGAGTGACTGATGAGAGGCCTCATGCCCAGAGTCCTTCTCATTTATTCTAGTTCAAAGAGCTCAGAAAACTCAAGGCAACCGCTCACCAGGTCAGATATTTCAGGAGGAGCATGGGGAAGGGCGCCTTGGAAGCAGGAAGCATGAAGCCAACTTCATCTGAGATGCAGGAGGGGATGGACAAAGCCGGGCTCTTACTGAACAGCTTCTTCCCCGGCAGCCCACTGCCTCATCCATCTTAATCTTTGACCACCAAGAGATGAAAACAATTTATCCTCACTCCCTGCTCTTACTAAGAAGTTACAAGAAATAAAAGTCAAACTAAAACAAAGATCAGTGTCATACCCCTTCTCAGACAATCTCCGGCTGACCTGGACTTTCTCATCATCTCTTTTATCTAGCGGAGTGTTTTGGCTAAAGCTTTGCAGAGGAAAG